ATTTAGGAATTTAGGAATTTAGGAATTTAGGAATTTAGGAATTTAGGAATTTAGGAATTTAGGAATTTAGGAATTTAGGAATTTAGGAATTTAGGAATTTAGGAATTTAGGAATTTAGGAATTTAGGAATTTAGGAATTTAGGAATTTAGGAATTTAGGAATTTAGGAATTTAGGAATTTAGGAATTTAGGAATTTAGGAATTTAGGAATTTAGGAATTTAGGAATTTAGGAATTTAGGAATTTAGGAATTTAGGAATTTAGGAATTTAGGAATTTAGGAATTTAGGAATTTAGGAATTTAGGAATTTAGGAATTTAGGAATTTAGGAATTTAGGAATTTAGGAATTTAGGAATTTAGGAATTTAGGAATTTAGGAATTTAGGAATTTAGGAATTTAGGAATTTAGGAATTTAGGAATTTAGGAATTTTGACATTCCGAAATTTTGAGATTTACGAATTTTGAGATTTTTTCAAATTTTGAGATTTAGAAGTTTAGAAATTTACAAACTTAGAACTTCGAAAATTTGGAAATTTGAATGTTTAGAGATTTAGAAGTTCGAAAATTTGCAAATTGGGGTATTTCAAAATCTATTATAGTTCTTCGAAAATTTATATACAATATCTGTCACGATTTTCAATCATCTCAACAGTGATTATTTTTACACATATTGTACCTTATTCTTTTCTTATCTAAGAAAGTATGCAATTATGTTTAAATAGAAGCAGTACATTTGCATTCTTTCAAGTTATATTTTTATATTTATATTCTCTAGAAGAATACTATAACGTATTTTTATATCATTCAATATTTTTTTTGTTTAAATCTACCTCGAACCAAATGCAGACAATAACTATAAACGAATTTCATTTGCGCAAATCGTTTTGTATACATATACTTATCCTTTTAGCACATAAAACTATTCGTAAAATTAGATAATCAATTTTCAATCATTTTTATTTCAAAGAAAAATAATATACAAATTGCAAAATGATAAAATATTCTTTTTAATGTACGTTATGAATATTAATTTATTCACTTATTTTAAGTCAATATTAATTTTCAGTTAAATACACTGGTAAAACACGTGGAGCCAGAAAAATTGCCAAACGACCAAGTAATATGGATGGTCACTTACCAGGACTTGGAAAGCAAAGTAGAAACAACTAAAACGTTCGACGCTGTGGTCTTGTGTAATGGTCATTACACTGTAGGTCATATTCCACACATTCCTGGTATTGAAAGTTTCCCTGGCGAATGTATACATAGTCATCAGTACAGGATACCGGAAGTGTACGCCAGAAAGAAAGTCTGCATCCTCGGTGCATCTTGGTCTGGTATCGATATCGCTCTTGAGCTCTCGCAATATGCAGAAAAGGTACACAAAATATTGCACAAAACAAATTCCTATTTCTTCTATTTTATCATTTTTATTTTCCTTAATTTTGCAAATAGAACGTTTTAAAACGTTTCTGTAATCAACTTGAAGCTCAATGAAGCTTATGTATGAAAAGTAAATACTTATTATCTTTTACGAATAAATTACTCGCAATTAATTTATCACAAAATGTTTTTATCATGTTTATAAATTAATGAGTCCATTTGTGCTGTTTACAGAAAATATAGATATAAAAATATTGTAATTCTTCTCTGCTATAAATTCCACCTAATTTCAATTAATATAGTATAATAGAATTAATTAATACTAATTTTTTTATTCAACTAAACATTGAACTTGCACAAATTACTTCCTGTAGAAAAATAATTATTAAACAGCGTAACCTTTTAAGCACAAAGTCAAATTTCTTTGACACAAGAAGCTGAAAAAAACTAAAAGAAATGTTACACTTAAGAAAAATATTAAACTTAATTATATTATGTGACAAATAATTAGGACCATTAATATTTTATTATAATAAACACTTTTATAAGAGTTGTATTTTAACTAAGAATTGTTTAATGTCGCAGATATATTTAAGCCACAATTTACCGGATCCGGTGGATTCAAGAATATTGAAACACACGGAAGAAAGGCCCGGAATCGAATCGATCCAAGGAAACATTTTCATCTTCCGTGATGGTTCCACGGCCGAAGTAGACAGCTTCATATATTGCACCGGTAAAATGACTTGATCTCCTTCGTACATATAAGTGCTTGAGGTATCCCAAAATTAATTATACATAAGTAAATGAGCATTGTCAGGGCCCTGTCGAATTCCCTTCAGGCCTGAAGTAAACAAAGAAACATCTAATTCACTTTCTCTGCTGAGAGTCGTATACCAACATAAATATCTCTATCACATACTTTTGGATCATTAAAAATATTAATACACGATTTTATTCTTTTTTTTGATGAACTAAAACATTATTATTACATGCAACGAGGTCCAAAGTCATTAAAGTTGATAAAATTTTATTTCATTTCTTCAGTTTTTTATAATAGATCTTGAACATATTTAAATTAAAATGTCGTTTAAAAATAATTTAATGCTAGTTTGTTTTTAATTAAATTTAATCCAACAGAGAAAGTAAAGTTTTGGATCTTACTACAGTTGAAGAATGGAGTTAGTCCATCGGTAGGACCCTGACCTTTGAAATCAAGTGTTAATTAATACTAAAATTGCAATGACCTTTCTAGGCTATAAATTCACGTATCCCTTTGTGTCAGCTAAAGTTGGAATAACAACGACTGACAATCACGTCGAGCCAATGTACAAGCACCTGATACACACCGATTACCCGAATTTATTTGTAATGGGTCTACCAGGACTTGTCATTCCTTTCCCCATGTTTCATCTGCAGGCTCAATATATCTTGGGTATTCTTGAGGGTCGCGTTCGGTTACCTTCTTGCGAGAAGATGCGCCAAGAATACGAAGCTGAGAAAAAGGCTCTCCTCGATCAGGGTATTCCGGTACGTATAATATATAAATTACATCTTGATTATCACTAGAGCACGCGTAGAAGACTTGTATAAATATTTGATTCTCATGTGACGCAATATTATTTGTAAAAGATCAAGATGTTTAACAAAGATCATATTCAAGATATTTACCAATGAAGATTTCATTTTTAATTTATAAGCAGTGTCAAAACTTTGTTCTTGAAATCTTGAAAACTAAAGCTAAACAACAGTAAAGAGTAAAGAGTACAAAGCGTACAAACAGTAAAGTTTTTCAGAATTTTGTCCAATATATAAAATTATGTTCTTTTTACAGCTCAGGCATATTAGTAAGCTAAAGGACAGACAATGGGCATATTACGATGAAATTGCTGCAGCTGCAAATATCCCAAGTCTCCCGCCAGTAATCCGAAAAATTTACGAACACACAAATCAACTACGGGAGATGGACATCGTCACTTATAAGAATTACCAATATCGTGTAATTGACGATGAAAACTTTGTAGTGTGTTGTTGTAAACCTTGTTAGGGCTTAAAAGCAAAGATCAGATAGGAATACTTTGTACTTCAAAATGTTTGAACCGAAACTGTTCGAAGTTTGCAATTGTTTTGCGTTCAGCGATAAGGATATCGTTTGTATCTTCCGTTCTATTAAATACAAGAACGCTAATACATTTCATGTGAGATGTATGGGGACACAAGTTTAAAAGTAAACATCGTATCAAGATTGAAATACATATGATTATAATGTGCGTTTCTTGACATATAAAATCTAGTTTTGTGTCGTATTACAATTTTGAACTGTGTAGTTCAAACAAATGTAGGGAACGCATCAATTGTGTGGGAATTTTGATTATGTTACGACTTTATGAAAATTAGTCGAAATAAATAATTTACAGAGTTGTAATTATAAATTAAATATACTTATTCTACTCAGACAGATTTTTATGTGTTTTAATACTCTCCTATTTTTAATTTAACAGGACTAACAAATTTTAGTAACAAATTACTTTAATGATTAATTTTAATAACAAATATGAGAACAATTGTGCTATTAACATCTTAAGGTATAATGTTTAAATAAATTTCAGCGTTTGAAACGTTCGATAATTTGTTCGATTTAAATTTCGCGCTATGTCGTTGCATGGAAACAGCGTCTTAGTGACCGTTTATATTCAGAATTGATTTTAACGTGCAGCTCGTATAACCTGACCATATGCTAGAATTTTGCTTTTTGTAAAGAGATTTCATAAAATTAAAGTCAATGGAGGAGGAAGAAAATATTGCGAGTAAAGAGTCCACTCCACCAGAAAGTGAAGCTCCCGCAGAAAAAGGAGAAGAAGAAGAAAAAGCACAGGTGAATGTAGAAGTTCTCGAAGCTGCAGAAGCTGTGACATCTCAGATTTATCAAATACGTCCACAACTACACGAGAAGTACTTTGATTTAATTTTATTTTTATTTTGCAATGTTGAACTATCATTTTTTAAGTATGTTAACAACTTACTCTGAATCTGTACAATTTTCTTAATAAATTATATTTGTCATGCTTTCTTCCATAATTTTTCTAGGCCGATTGAATCAAGTGTCTTTATTTTTATTTATTATAAAATTTGTTTATTAAATATACCCTGCAATTGTACAATTAAAAAGATATACATTTTAATTTAACAGTATTCATTTAGTAGTTTTATTGATCAATGTTACTGATTTATTCAAACAAACAAAATGTATTCATAAGATCGTTATTATAGTAATCATTTTTTAACATTATGTTTATTATTATGATATAAAAGTAGCAAATACTTTGAATACAGGTTTAAACCTTTAAGCGCTAAAGAAGTTATACATAATGTATTATTCGATCAGCTTTCTACAAAGACTTATGACGCTGAAGAAGCTGTTCAGTGGACTAAGGATATAGCAGATCTAATTAGAGAAAAAGTTAAAGGTGAAATTTCATTTCTGAAACAAGTCTTCAAAATTTAAAGCCACTTAGTTTTACTAAAAGTATACCTATTTTAAATAATGTTCTATATACTTTTAGAACTAAGTTTCAAACGTTACAAATATATTGTAAATGTGGTTTTGGGTGAGAAGCATGGTGCTGGGGTAAAAATGGGTACAAGATGTATTTGGGATGCAGAGGCAGATTCATACGCGTATGATAGCTTTATAAATGTAAGGATAATATAATCAATTTTAAACATTTAATTTATTACATAAATGCAAAAAACTTGAACTCACAGGATTAACTGTAGATTAGGTTGAATTTCAGTCTTGAATATATTGTAATTAGATGCAATAATAACATTTTTTCAGGATACAATATTCTGTGTCGCTACTGTGTATGCTGTATATTTTTATTAAAAATGAAAAGTGGTGTCATATCTTCAAATTTATTACAATAAAGTACACTATGTATTAATGAAAGTATTATTTGAGAATATGCCGATGTAGGGGAAGTAAATATGATCTCATAGAAGGAGCAGACACTTTATTAACATAAAAATTATTATTCATCAACACACATTTGATATATTGACATGGCACAATTTTTACACATATTTAAACATATTATTTTTATCTATGTATTTCATAATACATGAGCTCATGATTGTAATGAGTCTGTATTATATTTATACTTCTTGTGTATCATTAACATTATTATAGCACCATAATTCACGGTATTATTCTATAGTTACAAAAAGTTTTTAATCGTGAGTAAAGGCACCTACTATCATGGCTATGACTTTTATTTATATTTGTTTATATTACGATTGACTTAAATTATTAAAAATGTGTTGGTAAAATAATTGTATTAATACATTTTTCGAATATTTTAAATCCATTCATTCAAACATAGAATTTTGCAAATATATAAGTGTATAAATACATACATTGCAATGTTTTGTAATTAAAACATAAGTGATATTTGTATGCTTAGTAACATAATGTAAATACATATTATACTATTTTAATATTACATTTTTGATTCTATAATCATACCATTGAAAACTGTTCCAAATCTTAAAAAATTTTAATGCGAAGTGAGAAGTGTATGTAGAGTATTATACAGTGTATGAGAAAATGTAAAGTTTGTAATAAATATTATAGTGTTTGTAATAACATTGGAGGAAAAATAAATAAGTGTTTTTAGCTTATAATGTTGTGATATGATATGATATTAGCAAAACCCAGTTGCTTGATAATATACAACAGGATACATCTAACATTATGTATAGAAGCAAAATAATAAAAAGAAAAACTTAAATAATTTTGTATTACTAATAGTTCAGCAGTTTTGTTTTGAAAAATTACATAAAACAAAAATAGCAATAATTTAAAACAATATTGAAATATATACTAAAATAAAATCTACAATATCAGTGATTTTATAATAACATTATATAAGTAAGAAAGCTTAATATTAGGCCTTTTTTGTTTATCAACCTTGTCAAATTAAAATTATATCAATTTTAATCGCACGTTTATTCAGTGTTATATACACACAACATTCGGGAAACGAAGAACTGGGAATTATTTATTTTTGAACTAGTTAAAAGTTTCCAAAATTGTAATTTTAATATTGACTTTTGTCACATTTTATCTCGGCATAATGGAAGATATATGATGAATTTAGATAGAGATTCGTGTACGGTATAACTAGTCGGTTATCTAATCGATTAACAGGTTAACATTGATTAAGTTAAGTTACATAATTACGCATGGCATGGCACAACAAAGGGGTAGACAAACAGGAACAACACCGCCACCGCTACTGGTCTTTGTCCTGCTTTTACTAGATGCTTCATATTCATATTTTCCTTTAGCTTTTTCCCATCGTCCCTACAAAATAAAAAAGAGAATAATTGAATAATATATATATGTAGAATCACTGTTATTCAACTATAATTCCTTGTATTGCAGTACTGCATTATATCCCTAGCACTTGTTAGTCAAAATATCTTGTAGCAATTTTTTTAAATAGAATGCCAATTTCTTTTTATTAATATTTTTTTATACAATTATATATTAAATGATTTTCAGTTGAAAATATCAGTTTGTTTACTTACTCCAGATTGAGACATGCCGCTACTGTATTCTTCCTTTTTAGTGAATTCCGCCGAACCAGGAGGATAATAAACCGGAGGTCCAGCGACATTTTTACTTTTCACTTTGGGTGGTGTGTGAGGTATAAAGTCAACTTCCTTTTTAACAGCGGGTAAATCCTTTTTCTGTCCTTTCTCTCTTTTCTCAATGTCCTCTAATACTTCACGCTAAACAAAGAAACATCTTGTCAAATAATTTGCAATTTATATTTTATTATCATACATATATAGAAGTGACAATTCTTATTATATTTTTACAGTTGTAGTTGCAGAAAATTTTTGGGAAATTTATTGAAAAGCTCCATTTGTTTCAATTAACTCCTATGTATATATATATACATTTGTCATAAAAGAAAGTGTTAACACAAAAATTGAATAAATATCATCTCAGAAAAATTTAACTTTTCATTCAAGTCAATATATTAAAAAACAAAGTTACCTCGGTATCAGAAAATGACGCCATAAGATCTTCCAGTTTTTTAGGAGGACTCTGTTCCTTGGTGGCAGGTTTGGAAGGATAGACCTGAACGCCACCGGTTGGGAAGGGTTTCGGTAACAAAACTTCGTGGTCCTCAGCATTCTTGTTCGGCGGTACAGTTGTGGTCGTGTTCGAAAATTTATACACGGTCGTGGTGGATTGCGGTGAGGTGGTCTGCGGCGATGTAGTATAATAATTAACCGGTGTTCCCGGTTTATCGGGTGTCGGGTATCGTCCACTAGACGGTGGCCTGCTAGGATAGTGTTCTTCGAACCGATTTATGGTGGTGTGAGTCTCGTTTATGATAGGCGGTTGATTCTGGTAAATTATCGGGCCACTCGGATGATCTGGTCGATCACCTGGTGGATGTCCATTGGGGTAGGTGCCATCTACTTGATAGTATTTTTCGTTTCGCGTTACTGTTGTTTTGGTTTCCAACGGAGGAGAGCCAGGGTGATAAGTAGTTACTGGTTGCACCGGTGGACTACCGTGGTGTTCTTCGCGGAAGAATTTAGCTTCCTGGTGTATGGTTGTGGATTTCTTGGTGATGTCCGTCACTGGCGATGGACTGCTGTATCTAGTTGGTGTTCTAGGTGGAACATTTTCAGTCACGGTTTGATACGTGACCATCTTATCCGTGGCGGAGGTTGAACCTTTCGGTATTGTGTACGTGATAGTCTGATCACCCGGTAGCACAACAGTTCCTGGTACATTGCTACCTGGCAGATACGTTTCTGGCGCTCCTGGTAGCTCGTATGTGTAGGTTTTGATGGTGGTTGTTACTTTCGTGTTGGGACCCGGTGCCAAGTTAATCGGTATCGCTGGCGTTGGCGATGGAACTGGCACATACTCCACGTTGCCATATTCTTGGGCGCTGCTGTGTACTGTGGTTAGTGTGTTTTGTACTGGTTCTGTTTGGTAACCTACAACATTCATCAAGATGCTATGATCGCGAAAAATATATTTTTTCTTATTATGATCAAAAGAATGTCCATTCAGCAGATATTTTTTTATCAAATTTTAGATGGTCCACTTTTAGATTTCTAATGTATCATGTACTTATAAAGTTCTTTTGGATCGGCAAATCTAAATCTGATGTTAAAAGAAAATATTCCTCTAACAAAGATTTAATTGTACGAATTTATTATTTTTATCTGTGAATCTTTTTGAGAGTATGATCAATTTTAAAATTAAATATAAATTATGCGTTTTACGATATTTATGATGATATAAATTATTATCAGTACCAGTCATTAAGTTAGATATTTTTCAAGATCAGTGGTCTTATTGCTACTATACCAGTTACCTCGTTTTGATTTAACGAGTATTAAATTTCAAAATAAATACTTTAGCAAATAATTTTTGATACTTTTGCTTCAGACTTACTCGAAGATTCATGAATGTACTTCACGTCTCTTTGTTGTGTACCTGGTAAGGGTGAGGTTTGTTTCGAACGAGACGTAGTAGTATCGCCATACATCTAAAATATATATTCATATATTTTTCCATTTTGATTTTAGTCGTTTCAATATAAAATAGTATACAAACCAATTCTCTGTTGACTGTTCTAGTAACTGGTTCTAAACCACTGTGAATGGTGCTTTCTTCGTAGGTTCTTTCTCGAATATCATCGCTGTAAATTAATTTTGAAAGTCAAAATAAATTTTATCTAATCAAGTATTATATTCAGAAATTAAATAAAACTAATGATATGCTCGATCTCATAATTCATATTAAAAGGTATTACGCAATAAATGTATATTTGTAATAAGTATTTGCGTTTTGTTCGGACCTTAAAGATGTCAGAAATTTGCAACTAAATCTTCTATTATAATAGAATGCACAATGTACGTATAGATTTCTTGGCGATTATTCAGGCGTTTCTAATGTTAGACCAGAAATATTTTGTTAAACGATTTGTACTTACATTAATGCTGTACCAGTATTGGTCAATGCATTGTCTGGAGTTGTCCAGGAATCTGTAACATAAAATATTTACCTTTAAATTTTTAGTGTCTTATTTGTAATGTTATGTAAAACGTAATTTTATGGTGCATTATAGTGCAATGATGTTTAACTTTTGACAAATTTCAGAAAAGGCAATTCAGTCAATTGTTAGTTTACAATTATGTAACTGTAATTCATCGCTAAATGTTTCTTAAATTTTGCTGTTCGATAGCCTACTTTAATCTATAAATTGACATTACAATTTTATATTGTGTTGTTACATATATGAATCATATATACATATGTCATTATGTATATTAATAATAGTGTAATAGAGATCGTTGAAATTTGTATCCATCTAGACAATACTAAAGCAAAAAGATCTGTTCAAATAAAACAAAACAAAGACAAGTCTATAATAGTTTACAGATTTTATTACATTTATTATCTAAAAAATAAGAGAAATAAATTTCGTATGATTTCGAAATATCCTATATATGTATAATAATTTTATCCTTAATTACAAAAGCCATAAGATATTGTTTAATTTCCTATCGTTACGTTATTAATTGTATACTTACTGTTAAGTATTTTCAATGTGCCAAACGAACAAGAAAATTTATTACTAAGTATTTTCAAAATACATAAAAAGCTAAAAATGAGTTCTTTCGTATTTATCAGAAAGACTTTAAGGATAATCTGATCATTTCATTGAAACAACGGCCATCACCCACTGATTCAATGACGATCATCATCCTTGGCTCACGTCGCTGATATTTTGTTTCTTTTTTGACATTTCCATTTTTATTTTCCTCTTTCTCAAGTATAACCAGAGGGACAGAGAAATCGGGTCAACCGTCTGTTACACGCAGCCCTAATATGGATACGCTTGTGTATCATGTGTTACCGCAAAGAACACACACTCTGACCGCTACGTCACTTCCATATAGAGAGACATCCAGCACGGAAATCTTCTACGTGTAATGGCGTTGCCGTGTTACCTGCGTTCATAGTTCAATGAAATCTCATAGAATCTCAGTAGTCGCAACATCCACGACAATGTTGTACATTTTCCATAATTGCTGAACATGCATCCAGTGTTTGCAGCGATATCTTACGTCTTTTATCAGATTAAAGCAAGATAAAAAATAGAAAATAAGGAAATATGTGGTTCTTTAGGCAAATAAGATTTTAGTAAGTTTCTTGAGCTTCGAGGATGTTAAATTATTTTAGGGTAGTTATAGAAAGAAAGGAAAAGCGTAAGTTTGTTGTACAGATTGTTTACTCGAAGTAATCGTAGAATAATTTTTATTAGAAGAGTTAAACAGTATTTTATGTTATAACTTTATCTTATTGTTATTGTTAGAGACAATATTTCTAAGGACTTTTGAAAACTAATATAAAAGTTTCTTATATGTAAAAAATGATAAAGTTGGACCTTGCAATTTTTAACTAGCAATTTTTGAATGTATATTGATATAATTATTTGAAGATCACTGTGATTGTCCATTATCTTATCAATGCTAAGAAAAACTGAATATTTGCAAATGGCGGCTAAATTGAAGTTGAAAGTCCATTTAAGTTTTAATGAGTCCATTTGAAGTTTTACTTCAAATTAGCGAAATTACTAAATTCATGAGATTAATAAGAAATTATTAATAATACTTGTGTTTCTAATGAGCAAGATTTTCCAACCTGAAGATATTGATTTTCTTAAAATTTTCCGGGGTCGTAGATCAATGTCTTTTCTGAGGGGTGAACAGTTAATACTTCACTACTTTGATTATTCATCACCCATAAAATTTTATTCATCTTCATAATTGAAGATGTTTAAGCGAGCACACTTCAATGAGACAACCCTCAATAACTCGAGAACCTCTATAAAGTTTTGTTTCTTTTTAATCATTTCTTTCGCTCTCTGTGAATTTATAGTATGCATTAAATTCTTTTTTAGAAATTGTCATTTCGTTAAACAGTATATTCTTATAAATATCTTGACGAATATTTAATATTGAACTTTTCCAAATTGTCATCTTTCTAAATAGAATTTTTTACAAATATCTTGACGAACATCGAATTCAATTTTCTCGAAAACCAAGCCTTACGTGACGGAATTTTATTCGATATTTTCAACCTAATTTTTTTGCTCAATTTTCTTCGTGGAAGCACCAACTACTGACCCTGTATTACAAGACGTTAAAAACGGGTCATATCTCCATCTTTTTTAAATATTGATTCATATTGAAAAATTAAATTTCTCTCTAAATGATTACAGTTAGAAAATCGTACAAGTCTCCATTTTTTTTTTTAAATATTAACTCACATTTAAAAATTCAATATTTTTCTAAGTGGTTATATTTAGAAAATCATATAAGTTTCCATGTTTTTTTAATAGTAATTCACATTTAAAAATTGAATGTTTTTCTAAGTGGTTTATTTAGAAAATCGTACAAAGCTGCATGACAGATTTTCGTTTCTTGAACCTCTTCTGTTCAAAAATTCCGATAAGTCGAAACGATAAATTGAATAAGTGTAATTTGACTAAAATTTCAAACTAAAATTATAGGTTTTTACAAAATTTTCAAAGAACAGAAAAATATTTATACCGATCGAAGAAAGTAATACGAAAGGAATTTATTTCAGCGTCCATTTCATCGATTGATTTCGATCGAACGTGTGCGAATCGAATTTTCCAAAGATCTCACAGCAGACAACGAACCTCCCTCGTTTTGTCGTTCTCATTGTTAATTAACCGTATACCTGCAAGGCCGTTCCGCGCCTTAAAAGGAGCGACACGAGTGACCAGCTCCCCTTCCTTCCACGATCGTTTAAAACGCGCCAGCGCTTGCGCGCGATTCCTTGCAAACACGCCTGAGGGTTTTGTAGCGGCGTATCCGATACTTTTTACCAAAAATTGACTTCCCGTTGGAACTCATTCTCCTTCATCGATCCCTTCTCTTTCCTCCCTTTTCCTTTTATTGCATTACGTTATTGCGTATGAATTTTAGTATGAATATTGCATACTACCGATTTCGAGAATAGAAAGTTAGATGGATTTGATGACAGAAGCACCGTAAAATAACCGTCACGTCAAGATTTATTTTTTTTAACACTAGAACTACTAAACAGTCAAAATGACTGGTTTCAGATTTCTCATTTTATATTACAAAATTTTATTGCCGTGATTTTTTGGAAATGTCTGTTATATATTGTTGAGGTAAAAACTAGTTCTATATGTTACTTGATGTTATAGTATTTATTTATTTCCCTTTTCATTTTATTTTTCATTCTTCGATAAACGAGCATTTAATGTCGGTAGTTCTAGTGTTAAAGATTTAGGTATAATAATAAAAAATATATAAACACTGTTGTTTGTTACATTATGTTTATGCATCACACGTGTCATATAATAGAATCAATTAAAAAATGCTTATTTCAAATTATTATATTAAATAAAATGGTGACTGAGCGTCATCCCTCAAACGCAAAGGATTAATATGAAATAACTAAAAAAAAAAGTGAAATATTAAATTTGGGAATTTGGGAATTTGGGAACTTAGGAACTTGGGAACTTGGGAATTTCTGAATTTGGGAATTTGGGAATTGGGGAATTTAGGAGCTTGGGAATTTGGGGATTTAGGAATTTGGGAATTTGGGAACTTGGGAAATTGTGAATTTGGGAATTTGGGAATTTTCTGTTTACAGTAAATTTCCAAATTCTGATATTTTAATATTTAAAAATTCCCAAGTTCTCAAGTTTTCAAATCTTAAAATTCTCAAATTATCAAATTCCCAAATTACCAAATTGCCAAACTGCCAATTTGCCAAATTCCCAAATTCACAAATTTCCAAGTTCCCAAATTCCCCAATTCCCAAATTGCCAAATTCCTAAATCCCCAAATTCCCAAATTCCCAAATTCCTAAATTCCCAAATTCCCAAATTTCCCAATTCCGAAATTGCCAAATTCCTAAATCCCCAAATTCCTAAACTCCTAAATTCCCCAATTCCCAAGTTCCCAAATTCCCAAATTCCTAAATCCCCAAATTCACAAATATCTAAATTGCCAAACTCCTAAATATCTAAATTCCCAAATTCCCAAATCCCCAAATCCCCAAATTCCTAAATATCTAAATTCCCCAATTCCCAAATTCCCAAATTCTAAAGTTTTAATATTCCAAAATTCTGAAATCATATAATCCCCAAATTTCTACATTCCGAAATTCTAATATTTTAAAGTTCTAAAATTCTAAAATGTTGAAATTCTTAAATTTCGAAATTATCAAATTTGTAAAATATTTGAAGTATTTAGAGCCCCTAAAAGACTTAATTTAACACCGAATCCAGCCACATATTCAATATAAAAAGAAACTTATTCTTATTAGCTATAATCGTACATTTATTACACGAATTATTTTTGTAATTCCTCTCTTTGCAACTATCAGTAATAAAACCTTAGATTATAAATGTGAATAACCAAAGAACTTACCGATCGGTTTTCCCTCAAGATTCTTGTTATATTGATACGACACTTGTTTATAAGCAATCGTTTTACTTTGACCAGGTTGTACCTGAAACAGAGGAATGTTTCCTAAACACGACTGAAAATTGATTTATGAAAAGTCAGTTATTTATTAATTTGTTTCTACCATTCATAAACTGACAATGTCAGATCTTGTTGTGAGAGCAAGATTATAAATAATCAATGAATCTTTTTTCATGAATGAACAACATCGAATGATTCATGAATTATGTTCAGTGAGTCTTGTATATGCATTGAATGTATAATGATCTTTATCGAACACATAGGTGTATGAATTATTTTTTTCGTTCATAGAAATAATGTTTTTTATTTATGTTTAATATTAATATTTTAATAAAGTTGCTGTATTTTATACCTAGAGAGTGTTCAATTTTAATTAGTTTACTATTACCAACATCGACAAATTTTTCTATGTAAAAATATTTATTTTCAAATATTCTTCAAAGACTGAAATAATAAACGTAATGTAACGTACACGTTTATTATTTTATATATTCTGCCTATAGGATGTTTTAATTAAATTGATTTATTATTATAAAAACAAGGAAATTTTACATAAAAATATTTATTTATAATATTCTTCGAAAACTAAGGACTATACTTAATGTAACGATCACGTTCTCCATCCCGCATTTTTTATTTATAGGTCGTTTTAATTAAATTACTATTACAAATTTTTTACATAAAAATATTTACTCAAACATTCCTGCAGAGACTTATGTGATTCATATTTGTACGTATACTACCGTCCATAAGTACCCGGACACTTGGTTTTGTTACATAAAACATAGTTGATATTTGCATGAAAGGTATTTAGGGTTATCATATCATCTGTAATAATTATTATTATCTTTTTTGAGGTGTCTTAACGTAATAGAATTAATTTTTAAGTACAAATTATACAATGAAAGTGTGAAAGTAAAATTCATGTCCAGAAGTACAAAGTCCAAATTTGTGAATCTAATGAAACGCTTTCGATTCTAAAAAAATTTTAATTTATACTGTGTTTCATTTCTATGGTGCAGAACGTATTCAGGGGGTTCTTCGATATGTTTCAAGTGTTTGTAAACTGTTGGTAGATGTTTAGGTTCCTTCAATGGAGATAAGAATGGAGGTAACGCTACGCACTCGACAGTTTCGGTTTAGTTCGTCTGTAGCTTCTTTTCCATCGAGATATGAGTTCCAAACGAGAATTATCAATGGAAAAACGTTCCAGTATTCTGA